AACTCTGCCAGAACCCTCCAGGCACCAGAGGTCACAGCAACACCACGTTTTCAAACCAGATCAGAGTCCAGAAAGCAGGAACAAGCTTCAGCTTTATTGTTCTCCCATCCATGGTCATCTTTGTAAAGGAATGATATTGCAGCTGCAAAAGAAGAGGGTAGGAGGAAATATTAAATTTTCATTTCTCAGACAGGCACAGAAGACCTGGCATGGGATGGCTCAGACCCACCACAACCCTCCTCCACTGGTTTCCCAGACAAACCAGCCACTGAGACCCTTCTGCCTGTGCTCATGTTTGATGGAACTCCGCTCCCTGTATCCCTGTGCAGCACCAGCTGCCTCCAGCTCCCTGGTGCCCACCTGTGAGGTCTGTCACAGCAGGCAGTGACACAGCCAGGGCTGGCCCTGCTCAGGAAATGTGCCCTGAGCTGGTGAAAGCCTCTTTCTTCCCTCCCAAGTGAAACAGTAGCTCACCCCAGGAGGCCCTTCCCGGCCCAGCGCTTTGGAGTCAGCCCCACGTGCACCCTTCTGCCCCCACGGATCACTGTCACACTCAGGGGTCTCTGAAGAAGAGGAAAAAATAGAAAAATAACCAAAATATTTCACTTTTCCATCACAAAGTCAACTCTCTTTCTTCTTTTGCTGAAGCACACAAAGAACATTGAGCCCAAGGAACTGTTAAGCAGCAGTGCCCACTCTCCCTCCTGTGGCTGTAACTGAAAGAAGAGAGTGTTTTGTATGAAGTCATCTCCAGGAGATCCCTCAATTCCACCACCAAGCACTTAATGGCTGTGGCAGCTTCTCTGGCCAGGCCACGAGGGTGGCACAGCAATGCTGCTGCAGGGAGTCCCCAGGGAGAACAAACAATGCTCTCACCTCTCAGCTCTTCCATTGATGAGCAAATAGCTCAGTGCTGTGAGAGAGCAAGGCTACAGCTGCACAGACTGAATCTGACACTGTTTCTGACAGGGAAATGATGATTCCAGAGATCCAAGTTCCACAGAAAGAGCTGTGGCTAACGGGCAAGAGAATGCAGCCACAGCAGGAATGAGCTCACCCCCTCGCTGTGCTGCACCACCGTGGCAATGTTCTGCAGGTTCTGGAAGTTGTTTGCATTGACAGATCCAAACTCCACAATCTCATCATCAACTTGAAGTCCCTGGACAGAGAAAGAAGAGAGATGAGCATCTGCATTCTCCAAAGACAGGTAATATCACAGGTAATATCCCAGGAGCATCACCCTTCACCCAGCCACAGGGAGAGAGATGTGCTACAACACCTCTCACACCCAGGCAATTGAACATCACTACAGCCACAGGGAGAGGTGAGTGTTCATTCCTCTGTTCTGTTTCATGGGAAGAGAAATACTGAGGCTGGAATGGTCAGTGAGGTGTGGAAGGAGCTGTGGTGCCAGGACACAGCTCAGAGAATGAACACCCATCTCATCCCTGTACAGTGACCAGCCCCTTCACAGGACATCCCAACATGATAAAAAGAAGGGGTTGACACCCTAATCAAGGCCCCAGCTTATTCCCACTGATTAACAAGAGGCAGAGGGAGCCTGAGCTGTCTGGCTCCAGCCAAAGCCTTCCCCACGAGCCGTGCCCCACATACCGAGACACTGGCAGGAGAGCCGGGGCTCACGGAGTTCACTTTGGCAAAGGCCTGGGGCAGGCTCTGGCTCTGGCTCATGGCCTCAGCCAAGGCCTCTGCCTCATCCCTGGCGTGTTTCTCCTTCTCCCGGGCGTGCAGCTTGTGCAGAGCTTCCTCCACCTGCTTCATCACGGCCTTGTGGTCATTCTGCAAACCTGTGGGTGACACCATGAGCACACAGGGAGTGGGAGAGGCTTCCCCCAAAGGGCTCTCAGCACCTGCTCCCCCTGCAGTCACACAGTCTCTGATCTCAGCAAGAACCTCTGCTCTATCTGCCGGGGCCTGATGCCAGCCTGGCAGATGTTTATCAGTAAAAGTCAGACACAGAGAAAACCACCCTACGAATTTTGGTAAACATGCAAAGGCAGCGAGGCCCAACATCCCTTAGCACTCAGTGAGCAGCTTAAGTCTTTCCACTAAGTCACCTGCTGTTATGTACATACCCATCCTGAGGATGGGCACTGGGAAAGCCTGGGATGAAATAAATATGAAGCTGTTTCCTACCCAAATTTTATTCTACAAACAGCACAGACAGGCTTTGTTGTGTTTCACAGATCCCAAATGGCCCCGCAGCAGTGGCAGAATTTCAGTGCCGCCGCAGCAACACGTGTTCAAAAGCATTTCACTGACTCAGCCCAGGCGGCAGCTCCGAGCCCTGAGCAGAACCTGGGGAACAGGCTCAGGGCAGCCCCGGGCCCCGGTTCTGAGGAATTACAACGAGCGCCATGGGGGTTCCAGAGAGCTCCGCGGTTCCGCGGTGCCCGTTCCCGGGCAGAGGCCGCCTTTGTCCCGCACATCCCGGTTTCGCTGGCTCATCCCGCGGCACGGGGCGCGGCCCGGTCCCGAGAAGGGCCCCCCCGCCCGGTTCCCGTTCCCCGTTCCCCGCTCACAGATGATGTTGTGCCGGGCGGTGCGCACTTGGTACAGGTCGATGTCCGAGCGGGGGAAGCCCTCGGCGTCCACCAGGGGCTCGTGCATCCCGACGCCCTTTTGCTGTGAGGGGAGAGGCGGCGGTTGGGAGGGGGCCGAGCCCGCGGGCCCGCACGGCGCCCCCCGGCCCGGCCCGGCCCTGCCCGGGCACTGACCCCCTCCAGGAGCTCGTAGCACGCCTTGATCTGCGCTTCAATCTCGTCCTTGCGCCGCACCAGCTGCTGCACATCGCTGACGGTGACGGGGCGGCCCCCGCCGGGATCCGCCATGGCCGCGGCCGGACGGGAGCCGGGACGGGCGCGGGGCGGGGCCGGGGGCGGGGCCAGCGGGGCCCGTGAGGGGGTGACAGGCGGGGACAGAGCGGTGACACGGGAGTGACACAGCGGGGACACGGCGGGAACACAATGATGGCAATAACGGGGTGGCACAGCCGTCACTGCCTCTGCGGCACACCGCTGTGGCGCTGGCATGGAGGGGCACAGCGGTGTCACCGTCACTGGGTCACGCTGCTCTGGTGGTGCCATGGGGCGGCTCTGATGGTGACACGTGGTGGCACAGCAGTGTCACCACCAGTGAGTTAAGCAGCTTTGATGGTGACATGTAGTAGCACAGCGGTGTCACCACCACTGGGTGACACAGCCAGGTGCACGATGTTATGTCCCTGTCCCTGCTGCTGGCCCCTCTCCAGTCTGTGGCCCAGTGCATTTGCCGAGTGTGGCATCCATGTCCCGGGTAGTGTGACAGGGGACAGCCCTGTCACACTGAGACCCCCACCCCTGTCCTCCGTGCCACTGGCACCACCCAAGCCCCCCGTGCTCATCCCCTCTGGCCTTGCTGGTGGCTCCGACTTCCCACCACTCCCAGCCAGGTGCAGTTTGTGCACTGGTGCCTCCCCGGCAGGGCCATCTCTCGTCCCCTCCTCCTGCTGTCCCACATTTTGGGGTCCCTGCAGCGCTGGGCTCGCCGGGGCTGAAGGTGGCACCGCGTGGCCCCGTGCCCAGACACCAGGCGGGCTCTGCAGGCTGTCCCGGCTCAGCGCTGCCCATGACATGTCCCCAGGGAGGGTGAATGTCCCCAGGGGCAGCGGGCGGGCCGGGGGATGTGCTGCCCGAATTGCGTCACCGCCGGTGCCCGGTGACACACGCGGGGCAGGGGTTTGGCTGCGGGGTCAGCAGGGTCCCCCCCCCCCGCAGAGCCTCACGTGCTGCCCTCGGTGCCCCCGCAGGGCTGCGGGAGCCGTGACACGGCCCCGGTGACAGCCACCCACCGCCCCGCTCTGGGCAGCTCCCGGCCCAAACCAAACACATCCCTGGGTTGGCGCTGGCAGAAGGTGGGGCCGAGGAGGAGCCTCCCCGTCCCGTTATATTGAAAGCGCCCCATTCTCAAGCTCTCTTTGCTTCCATCACATCGCCAGGTCACAAAAATGGTGAGGGCAGCAGATGGGAATTAATTCAGACATCGGGGGCTCCATGCACGGGACACTTTTGGAGATTTAAACTCTGCTTGAGTTCGGATTTTCCAGTGGCTGTGCTGGATGTGGCACAGCAGAGCTGCTCTCACAGCCTGACCTTTGGATTCCGCTCCCTGGGGGCTGCTGTACCTGCCTGTCCCACTAATGTCCCTCTTTTCTCATTCTCTTTCAGACGTCCTACACAGACAAAGGAGAAAAGGTAAGAATTGTGTCCCTGTCCTGCCCCTCTGCCTGGTGTGAAACATTGGTCATGTTACTGCAAATTGTGTCAATTCCTTGATTACCTGTTGAAATTAGAAGTAAAACTGCTCTGGGCCACACAAGATCCTCGTGGTAAATTAGTATTAATCATTGAATTTTCTGGTTTGGGAGTGATCATTGAAATTTCTGGTTTGGGAGGAGAGTGACAAACAGGAGATGATGGATATTTCCCAGTCAAGTCAAGCCTTAAGCTGAATCCTTATTCCATGCAACATTTATTTCCAAATGCTGCATTCTTTGCCTCCTTTTCGACTTTTAAAGTGTTTCCAGTGCTGGGTGTCCTGTGCCAGGTTGGGCAGTGGTGGGGAACGGAGCAAAGGGGATCTGTCCTGGTGCTGCTGGTTGTGTAAGAGCTTTTGTGGAATAATTAATCTTTAACACAGCGAGGTTTGCAGGTGGGCAGCTCGCTGGGATGGCTACTTGTGGGGAGCACTGCTGTGGGCAAAGGTGAATCAGTGCTTTGTATCTTCCAGCCTGCAGTGCAGGATCCTGTGGGACTTGACTGTAAAGCACTTTGGAAAATCACCATCTGAGGGCTGTTCCACCAGTTAATTCAGATGCTTTTGCAGGAGATGCATTTTCAGCGTTCCAGCTGCTGCTTCCCCCTGCTCCAGAGCCGAGCAGTGCTGCAGGAAATGCAGCAGCAGCAGCAGCTTCCAGCCCCATTTTCCTTCCTTTCAGCCCCAACGAGGCCGCTTCATCCACTTCCACTCCATCACCTTTTGGGTCGGCAATGCCAAGCAGGTGAGAGGCTGCGGCTGCCAGGCACACGTGCCAGGGGACAGCAGTGCCAGGGGACAGCAGTGCCAGGGGACAGCAGAGCCAGGGGACAGCAGTGCCAGGGGACAGCAGTGCCAGGGGACACCTCCCACGCCGGACAGGCCGGGCTCTGCAGGCATTGGCTGCCCGGGGGGTGTTGGTTCCTCCCGGCAGCCCCTGGGCCTGGGATGTGCCGTGTCCCAAAGCCCGGCCCTGGCCTGGCACCGGTGGCCTTGGTGGCCTTGGTGGCCCTTACGCAAGGCGAGGGGCGGCTCCTGGGGGTGGGACATGGGACATGGACCAGGGCACGTGGCCAGGCCCAGCTGTGGCCACCAGCCTGCAGAGCTGCGTGGGCTCGTGGCAGCTGATCTCCAAACCTTGCCCTGGTCTCCATCCCCCACCCCTGTTCTCCACACCTGAGCTGCTTTTCCCCCAACGTCACAGAACAGGGGACACCCAGAAATGTCTCCTGCTCCATGGCAGCCCTCACAGAAAGTTCTGGAGGCAGCGCTTCCCACTGAGTTTGGGCTTTTTCCTCAATCCTGGCCCTTTGTTGCCTCTGCCTGTTCCCCCCGGGCTGCTGGAGGAGGCAGAGAAGCTGCTGCCTGTTCTCACACACACAAGTGTGACTTGCACCTGCCATGGTGCTGTTCTCCATGGCCTGTGGGCCACCAGCACCACAGCTTCACCCAGAGGGACTCTTCCCTGCCCACAGGCTGCATCCTACTACTGCAACAAGCTGGGCTTCGAGGAGCTGGCCTACCGCGGGCTGGAGACCGGCAGCAGGGAGGTGGTGTCACATGTCATCAAGCAGGACAAGGTAAGGGAGCCCCTGACAGAGGTGCCATTGCCAGGGCAGGGAAAGGTGAGGTGGTGTCAGACCCACCATGAACACCATCACCTGTGGCTCCATCCTCACCTCTGCTCCTCTTCCTCGGCAGATCGTGTTTGTTTTCTCGTCCGCTCTGAACCCAGGGAATGAGGGTAGGTGTCACTGGGGGGGATGCAGTGGGAAATGAACAAAGCAGCTCTGCTCATGCCTGTGCCTGTTCCTGCTCGGGGCAGAGATGGGGGAGCACCTGGTGAAGCACGGGGACGGGGTGAAGGACGTGGCCTTCGAAGTGGAGGACTGTGACTTCATCGTGCAGGTGGGCAGCCCCTCTGTCCCCTCCCACACAGCCCCCCAAAACGGTGAGGGGAGGCAGGAGGGCCTGGGGATGTCTCCCCCTGGCCTGGGGGAGCTGTGGCAGGACAGGATCTCTCTCCTTCTGCCCAGAAAGCCAAGGAGCGTGGTGCTGTGGTGGTGAAGGAGCCGTGGGTGGAGCAGGACAAATTTGGGAAGGTGAAATTCGCAGTGATCCAGACGGTGAGTGGCAGGGCAGGGCCATGGAGCTGGCTGCACCTGGGAGGCCCCTGCACAAACAAAACCACAACACAACCACTTTAACCCCTCACAGTACGGTGACACCACCCACACCTTGATAGAGAAGCTCAACTACAAGGGCCTGTTCCTCCCTGGGTACCACCCACCCCTCTTCAAGGACCCCCTGCTGCCCAAGCTGTGAGTACTTTCCAGAGGCTCCTGCCTGGCTCTGCCATCGTGTTCTGGTGGGATATCCCACCGAGGAGCTGGACAGGTCCCCACTGCCTTGCCCTGGAGCCCCCTGAGCTGTGGGGTACCCCTGAGCCTGGTTGAGACCCCCCTTGTCTCCCCCCACAGACCAAGTGGCAAGCTCAGCTTTGTTGATCACGTTGTGGGGAACCAGCCTGACCTCCAGATGGTGCCAGTGGCAGACTGGTAAGGGTGGGCAGAGCTGGTGGGGGTGGGATGGAGCAGCAGCACAGCTCTGCTGGTCTCACCACTCCTGCCAGGGCTGATGAAGCCAGCACAGCTCCACTACTGTGGGGATGGAGCAAGGCCTTGACTGTGCCTGGTGACCTGGGCAGGTACCAGAAGAACCTGCTCTTCCACCGCTTCTGGTCGGTGGATGACAAGCAGCTGCACACCGAGTTCAGCGCCCTGCGCTCCATCGTGGTCACCAACTACGAGGAGACCATCAAGATGCCCATCAATGAGCCAGCCCCTGGCAAGAAGAAATCCCAGATTCAGGTGGGTGGATGCTGGTGGTTGATCCATGTGGCTGCCTCCACTCCCAGGGGGATCTTAGTGAAGGAACAGGGACCAAGGGTCAGTGATGTGGAGCCAGAGCAGAGCTGCTGTGCTGAAGTGGCTGCTAGAAAGGAATCCTGGCTCTGCTGGGCCTGACAAACCCCAGGGGAGCTGCTGGGCAGAGCCAGTTTACCCCATCTCATCAACAGTGTCTGTCATCGTGTGGTGCCCCTGGGCTGATCTTGCCTGCACATTTTTAAGCCCACACCATCCCTTCACAGCTGTAGCTGTGCTGTCACTGCCATGGTGACATCTTTTCCCTGTAGGAATACATTGATTACTACGGAGGGGCCGGAGTCCAGCACATCGCACTGAACACCCCCGACATCATCTCAGCGGTGAGTGCAGCCCTGGGACCCCCTGCCCTGGCTCTGGGCACAGTGCTGCTCATCACAGGGTGCACCATGACCCTGTCAGGGCACAAGGACACAGAGCTCATGGCCTTTGTGCTGTGGTTGTTTTACAACCAGCATTAACTGCCCAGGGGTCAAAGGGACCTGCTGCAGCTGGGAGCTGCCTGTTAAAGCAGTTGGGGTCTGCAGGGTCCTTGGTGGCACCTCTGTCCTTGCAGGGTGCCTGGCGGGACACAGCCAGCCCAGGCTGAGCCCCACAGCCCATCACCCACCTTCAGCAGGGGCAAGGCTGGGCTGAGCACCCAGGCTTGGGCTCCTCTCCAGACCAAGGCATCAGAGCAGGACCAATGATCCTTGCACAGCTCTCTGCAGTGCCTGGGGAGGACACCTTGGGGCTGCCCATTCCTGGTGCCAAAGTGAAATGATGAGGCAGGTTCTCATGCCTGAGGTTGGCCAATGCCACGGGAAAGCGTCTCTGTCCTGACACAGCCCATGCCAGGAACTACTCCTGGCACAAACCCCTCCCAAGCTGAGCCCTGCTGGGTCTCCCCTGCCTTGCAGATCACCAACCTGAAGCAGAGGGGCATGCAGTTCATGGATGTGCCCTCCAGCTACTACCAGGTGCTGCGGGAGAGGCTCAAAACTGCCAAAATCAAAGTGAAGGAGAACATTGACAAGCTGGAGGTGAGTCAGGGGGGAAAGGCCTGCCCAGGGCTGGAGCAGCTCCCCACAGTCCCTGCAGGGACGTGAGGGACACAGAGAGCCCACCTGCTCCTCTGTGGGTCTTTGAGCTGTCCCCTCATTTCTCCAGGAGCTGAAAATCCTGGTGGATTTTGATGAAAAAGGCTACTTGCTGCAGATCTTCACCAAACCAGTCCAAGACAGACCCACGGTGTTTCTTGAGGTGATCCAGAGGCACAACCACCAGGTTGGTTTGAGTTTGTCCCTCTGGTCCTGGCCAGGAGCCCTCAGGGCCAAGCCCTGGTCCCTAACGGTGCCACCCCTGCAGGGCTTCGGTGCTGGGAACTTCAAGTCTCTGTTTGAGGCCATTGAAATGGATCAGGATGCCAGAGGAAACCTGACTGTGCTGGAGCCCAACGGGGAGACCAGGAGGATGTAGGGGATGGCAGCAAGTGCCACCCTCATCCCCAAGGAGCTGCATCCCAAATGAACTGGGAAACACCCCATGTTTTGGTAAATAGCCCAGACTGGAGTGCCACACACCCAGGGAAGCCACTGCCAAGCTGGACAATGCAAAAGGAGCCAACAGCTCTCCCAGCCCAGCCCTGGCACTGCCCTTCTGTGACCTCCTGGGAGATGGGGTGTGGGAAATAGCAAACACACTCTCAAAAAGCAGCTTCATCTGATCCAAACCATGGAATTCTTAACAAAAGGGCAGGTTTAAGGCATGTGCCAAAGACACGCAGCTACAGAGGAAGACAGAAGAAACAACTGGGAGTGCTCAAATTCAGTCTGCCCAAAGTTTTAATTTTAGCTACACGGGAAGCTGCAACAGCAGGGAGGCGTTTTCCTCTCTGCACATCTTTTGTAAGATTTTGGTTTAATTGCTTTTAGACTCAATCTTCAATTTGAAATTGCTGAGAATAAACATGGTTTTAGGGTAGCTCCAACACTCTGGAATGAGAATTAATTGTATTTACATATTTCAGCCTTCCCAAGGCAACAGAGTCTTGCTGTAATACCTGTAAATTCCTGCATTAATGATGGGTTGGGGTTTCTCCCGTGTTTGCAGCAGTAATTGCTGGCACTGGCAGCAGTTCCTTGGCTCAGATCCTGGCTGCATGTGCAAAGTCCCCTCTGGGTGTTGCTCTGGAGTTGTCCTTTGCACGGGGAATTCCTCCCCAAAGCAATAAATCCCTTTTCTGGCCTGGCCTGAGTGCCTGGGGAGTCCCTGTGTTCCCAGCTGCTGCAGGACACCCTGGGGTGCTGCACAGCCCCTCCACAGCCCCCCGTTCCCTTTTCCCCAGCAGGGGAGCTCTCAGACCCCTCCCAGCCCCAGCCCTCAGCTCAGGATGGGCTCCTCTGACCCCCAGCCCCCTCCCAGCCCTCCTGGCTGAGCCCCCCAGGTGTGGCCGTGCTGCAGCCCTGCCCTGTGCTCACCTGAGCAATGCAGGAGCTGAGCTGAGGTCTCCTCCAGCCTCTGTCCTGTCTCTTCCACCTCCTCCTCCATCAGCCATTCCCCTTGGCCCCGCTCCAGGTGTTTATTTGTGAATAAAAGCTCAGAGAGGCCACCCTGACCCCCCAGCAGCAGCCCCCCATTGTTGGGGGTACATGGGCCAAACCTGAGCAGCTCCCCCAGCTGCCCCTTCCCTGGGTCCCAGGGAGCAGAGCTAATCCAGATCTCAAACAATCACAGAATATCCTGCAAGGGATCCACAAGAAACATCCAAGTCCAACTCCTGGCAATTGGAATAAACTGATTTTAAAAGAAAGAAAGCAAAGAGCCTCTGGCCACAACAGCCTCACACATCTCTGACCCCTCACCTGGTAGTTAAGGGCTTTTGCCTCCATAAAGCTAAAAACAAATAAATAAATAAAGGATATGAAATCAGAGCAATCCAGGGGAGAAGGAGGGGCAGGGACCCCTCACCTGCAGAGGTTGGACAGGTTTGGGACTCCTGGTTCACTGTCAGGAGAGCTCTGCTTCAGCTCTCCAAGGCTCTCAACATTGTTAATACTGAGACAAAATTTATAGACTAGAATCACTCACATATTTCTTTCATGCAATATAATGTTGCTTAAATTCATTTCCTGCTCACCAGAATTAATATTTTCAGTGAACTTTGCTGAAAATCAGTTCTTCACACTGTTCTTGTTCTGCATCTGCCTCCTTGAGCTCTCACAGCTCCCAGGTAATATATTAAGCACAACATAATTTTTCTGTAAGAAAAGTCAGTATATTTATGGTTTGCTTTATAAAAGTTACTATAATACAATGGTACATAGTATTCAATTCACAAAAATATGAACAAATATATACAGCATGACACATCCACAACAAAAACACTTTCTTCAAAACAAGATACATACTGGTGACAGATTCTATATGCACAAAACATCCCTAAATTTATAAATTTGCTTAACCAAAGAAAAAGCAGAAATCCTAAGTCTTCAAAGCAGAGTTGTTTTTTTAAAGGAACTTAAGAAAAAAAAAATTAAATTTATTGCAAACAATTTGACCTGCCTACTTTTAAAGGAGGCCCTTGATTTCCACGCTGGGAATTAAAACCAGAAAACTGCAAGAATTGGGAGCTGGGTGTTCCACTTTGCTTCAAAACTGCCCCATTGTTTTAGAGTGTCCTTCTTGATGTGTTTGCACTTGGACAAATCCTACAGTGGCAATTGAGGAAACTCATAAAAACAAAACAAATATTAAACTGAAAAAATCCAGTTGCTAATTTGCTTAAATACATTTTAGGGTGTCTATTAGACTGTACACATTTCCTCGCTTGAAATAAATAGATTTTGCACATAAGGTTTCAGACTGAGGGAGGGGGGAAAGAAGAAGCCTTGACTTGGCAATTTTTTGTCTTCAGTTTCTTAATGCTTCTAATTGCATCTATTTATTGACAAAAAAACCCCATATTTATACAGAATTTACATTATACAAAGCTTGACACAAGCTGTAAATGCCACCAGCTCCTTTGCTATACTCGGTCCTTCTTCCTCCCCATCGTGACATGATTTAGAGCTGGAATCTGTTTAAAAAGAACTCCAAATTACAATAGTCACTTTTAATAAACTATTTACATGCTCTTGAAGTACAAAGAAATCAGCAAAAAAATTTCAACATGTTTCTACAAGAAACAGTGTTCGAAGAGAAGATTCTTGAGTTCGCCTATGTACAGAAAATGCATTTTTTATACTTCAAAATCCTTTTTTTTCCCTAAATTTTTATTTTGTACAGAAATGCACTGAAATGATCCCTGAAAAAGGTCACAAAAACCAGAACTGAAACTACTGTATTTGTTGGGGTTTTAAAATGATGGTTGTTTTTTCTTTCCTTGTAGAAATAAGCTGCTCTGTACAATATAAATAACTGCAGGATGAGCCCCATGCCCTCCAGCCCCCCAGATCCTGTGGCTGCCAGCACAGAGGCACCTGCACCTCAACTCCCACAGCTGCAAACCAATTAAATTCTATTTCCATCATTTTGCTCTTTTTTCTTGGGTCATTCCTCCCAGGGAGATGGAATTTTGCAGAGAGCACTGTAAATGTCTCTCCTTTTTTTTTGTCTTGGGCTCAAACTGAAGTGACAATAAACGTGGGGATGGGTTTTTCAGTGCACTGAGTAAGCAGCACGTGCTGCTGAGGCTCCCTTGTCCCTGTCACTGTTCCCAGGGAGCCTGTGCCGAATGGACCACAGCAACCACAGCTCCTGCCCTGCTCTCATCCCATCCAGGCAAAGGATCTGAGGCCTCTCCCACCCATCTGTGGCTGCAGGGCTCCCCTGGCAGGGACAGGGCACCCATGGAAATCCCTGCACCAGGCTTGGGAGTCCTCACAATAAAATGATTTGTTTGGAGGTCAGGAAGCTTCTCAGTCCAAGACAAAAATCTCCCAGGGAGGATTCTGCAAGCCAAGATTTATGGGGGGAAAGAGAAGTCTCAGGTTTGGCTTTGAGACCAGACATGATTTTTCAGAAGTGCTGTGGCTTCAACAGCTCTGTTCCTTCCTGGGGAAGTGCTGGGAGATCAGCTCTTCTAAAAACTCACATTATTTGTCTGGGATCCTAAAAGGGGATGAATTACAGGCAGATTCAGAAGTACCCAAGTGATTTAGGTGCTCATGGTCTTTGGCACCCAAATCCCTCTGGTGCTCCTAAAACACAGGACCTGAAGGTGACAGGGACCTTCCTCCCCACCTTCCTCCCCAAGGATTAAGGCAAACTGCAGGGGCTGCTCCCACCCAGGGCACACAGATGTGCTGGGAACACAGGGCTGGGCCAGCTGGGGTGTCCTCACCCCCACAAATCCACCATTGATGCACTGGATTGATGGAGCAGAGAGGGAGAAGGCCAAGGACAGGGGCTTCAGTTCTGACACACAGGAACCTTCTGTGCATTTCCAAAGCCTTGCCAGTCAAAGGCCAAGCTGTGGAGATGCCAACCAACACACTGAATCTCACTGAGAAAAAATAACAACTAAACTGAGCAGCTGGCTTAACTCCCAAATGCCATCACTGCAGTTCCAACCAACATTCAGAGACAGAAACTTGGGCTTCTCATGATTTTAGGTTCTGGGTCACCAACACCCAGGAGCTGGAGAGATTTAGGAAGAAGGAGGAGAAACAAAACAGAACTGAAAGAAAAGCAGAGATGGACCATGGGCTGTCCAATCTCAGAGCCAATTTGCTCGCCCTCAGGCAGGAACACAGGTGGTATTAAGGCAGCTTGCAGCACTCTGTGTGTTCCTGCTCCCTCAGCCCTTTTGTCTGGAGAAATACAGAGGCAGAGGTCTAACCTACACTACAAACTCCACACTGCAGTGCAGGCCTGGCAATTCCATGGAACAGCTGAAAAAACTTCCAGGAACCTCTTGTGCAAGGTTGTCACCTCTGAGGGGGTTTGGAAAGAGCACAAGAATACAGCTCTGCAATTTGCTCTGTGGGGAGAAGGTGTTTAGTTATGCAGATAATCTTCCATTTCAGAATGACATTGCAGCTTCCCCTTACAAGCCAATTAAAAAGGGTTTAGTACAACTAATCCCTACTTTGAAAGGAGGAGAAATTCAATGCAAATTGAAAAACTGATCCTGTCTATACCTGAATGCTGGTGTAACACTTCCAGATCTCATCCAAAGAATTATTTTTTTGGTGTTTGGTCCCATTTTTAAATGGAACCAACCTCTTGAAGAACTGCAACCTTCACCTCAGCACATCTACAAGGAAAAAATATATTGAGAAATCATTTTAAAACATGCCTTACAAATGTAGAGAAGCAATTCATTTCCATGCTATAGATGGGGGGGACAGAATTGCTTTCAGGGACATTTCTACCATGATTTTCTGGAGGGACAGGACCACCCCTGGCCAAGTTACTGAGTAACAGAGGGAGGAGAGCAGCAGGGCACAGCTTGCTTCTATCACAGGAGGCATCTCCCACATCCAAGGACAGAGCAAATACTCCCTGTAAAACACTGGAAGGGCAGGGAAATGCAGATGAAAGTGAGAAAAAATGAATACAAGTCACACATCAGCCTGATTGCCACCCACAGGAACAAAGTCCTGCTACAAACGTGGGCCGTAGTCTTTGCTTGCAGGGCAGGATTTCTACAGCATCAACAGGGGCTGAGCTCTCCACTCAATGTCAGCCTCTCCTGCAAGCAAGGCAAGCCCATCCCCAAGGAATGGGCATCCCCAAAGGCCACACCTCTCCCTAGTGACTGAAGTACCCAAGGGTTTCTCACGTGCAGCTGCGGAGGTTTTGATCCCCCATGGACCAGCATGGCATGGAAAATGAGAGGGGAGCCCAAGGAGGGGAGCTGAGCTCTGGCTGACCTGACCCTGCCCTGGGGTTGGCTGAGGGGCCTTGTTCAGGCTCATCCCTAAGGAAAAGGCAGGACAGATCAGCTCTAGTCCCACTGTGGACACATCTCACACACACACACACACACACCCAAGCACTCACTCACTCACACACCCTCAAGCCTCTGGCTTGCTCTGTAACATCAACCTTACATTTATTTACAGCTTACTCTGAGAAATCTGTGCAATTTCAGCCAATCAAGCTCCCAACAAACCCTATATGGCGTTTTCAGTCTCTGCTTCACATTTAAACGTTGAATGTCTTTTTCAACCAACGAAAACTGATGAGAAAAAGGTAGCAGCATTTATGAAACAATGAAGGCTTATAAGAACAATTAAAAAAAAAAAAGGTACCATTATCCCATTATGGAGCATTACTTCAGGGACTGAACAGAGAAGCTAGTGTTTGGATAGACCATGCCACAAAAGGTAGCCACCTTTTTGTGTGCGTGTTGGATCTGAAAAGGAAAAAGCACCTGAAACATGAACAGTCCTCGTAAGCGTGTGCGCTTTTTGCTTTCACTCATGATCCTGGCAGAAGTGCGAAACTTGCTTGGTTTTCTTCTCTTTTTCCTCTTTTTTTTTTTTTTTTTGGTAAGTATTTTTTGCTTTTAAATTTTTTTTCTTCCTTTTTTTCTGTAGGTTTTTTTTTTTTCTCTTTTTTTGGCAAAGTGCAACCACACCTGGTTACCACAGTTTTGACATGGCCGAAGGTGCAAGTGTGACGAGAAACCTCGAGTTCAGTTCAGGGTTCCCCTGCAGTTCTCAGAGCCACAGAGACACGGGATCTTTACATCCTCAATTGGAAACTTGTAGTCGTAGGTAATTTCCTCGTTCACATTAATGTGCTGCTTGGAGTAGATAACGATCTTCTTTTGAGACTCCACCGTGATCACTTTAGCATAACAATTTGGCTGCAAGGGTGACACAACAGGTGAGGATGCAGGTTCCAGAGTGCCACAGCTTCCCAGCCTCCATACAATTATTTCAAGATAAAATAAAACAGGGCAGCCCTTTCCCGAGACAACCCCAGCCACACTTTCAGAGCCTGGACTCAGGAGGAAGGCATGAAGCCAGAAATCAGAGCAGCTCCCCTTGTGCTGCTCCAAAATATCCACACTCTGCTCATTTGTGGAGCAAAAGAGCCTGGATGATGCTCCATCAATTTTGTCCCAGGTTAAGAGAAGCTCAATGCTTAACAGTTTGGCCAGGCCGGCAAGTCTGAGAGCAGACTGCAGCACAGAGCAGAGCAGGAAACAGCAGGGAATATTTTCCCATGCGGACACTAGAAGGAGCTGAATTTCCCACAGCTGAAATTTGCTATGTTTTAAGGAACTATTTGTTAGATTTGCTTGCTCAGTGTCCATCAGGTTCCCTGAGACAGCCAGAAAGGCTCCTGAGTGCACTCAGTCTCCCTGCATGTTTCACTCCTCAGGTCTCTCCAAGCTCTTTACATTCCTTTAGACCCTGCTCTGACCTGCTGTGGCTCATTAACATTTAATCACAACCCTGAGACCCCCTGCCACTTCTGAGCACCCCCAGCAGGGCTGGCAGGGCCTCCCCGGGTTTGTCAGCTGCCAGGGAACAAGGACAGACCAGAACAGATACTCACATTGCAGCTGTGATTGATGAACCTGGCGAAGTTCCCACACTTGGTGGCATCGATGATGGTGTCGTGGTCGACTCTGAACATGTAACTGCTGCCGATGCCCTCGTCCTCGTATCGCTTCTCACGCATGTCAGCAATGACCTGCAGAAAGCCAGGCAGGCTCAGGCCAGCTGTGAGCAGCCTCCTCACCTCCACAAGGCTCCCCTGAGCTCTGCTTGTGCCAGGCAATGGGGCTCTGTAAGATCCCCACTACCCCAAGAGAGCACACACCCAACTGGAAACACAGAAGTTCAGGATGGGCTTCTTAAGGAGGATTCTCCTGAGTGCTCAATTTCCATGGATTGTTGGAATTCCTACCCTTGTAGCTCCAAACCATGCCAACCTGTGCCCAGCCCACAAAGCTGACACCTCCAACCCAGGACCTCAACCCTTGCTGTCATACTCAAGGATTTCATCCAGGGCTGGTTTTTGCTCAGATTTCAGCCACAGCTTACCTGCCTGATGTTCTGCCCCACGTACTCTATCACCATCTCATCAGCTGCAATGGGCTCCATAGCAAAAAGGCCCCAGTCGTGAATGTGGCTCTTGCAAAATTTTAGTTTTTTCTTCCGGAACTGCATGAAGAAAACACCCCAAAACCCAACCCTGAATTAGCCACAGCACAGAACAGAAAGGATGTCTCTGGGTCCGGGATCTGCAGCAGGGGGTATCTACCTTGAGCTGGTTGAACTTGAGCAGGTCACTGTCACAGCTACCAGTGAAGGAGGAGAGGAGCCTGCGCTGCTCTGATCGCCTCTCGGAACCAGCCCGGGTGGAAGCGTGAGGTTGGGCAGGGATGCTCATACCCTGAGAGGACAAATGGGGGATCAAAGCTGACCCAACACCCTGCAGGCTCCCTGTGAGCAGCCCCTTGTGCTACAGCTCATCACCACAGAACACCTGGCATCAAACATTAGCACTCCCCACACATCCCCAGGACAATCAAGGAGACACAACAGCTCCCTCTCCCTCCCTGCCAAAAGGCAGGAAGCACCTGCTGTGTGTGACAGTGTCAAACCAAACCCCACCCACAGCTGGATTCCTCACCTGGGTGTCAGCTGGAGGCTCCTCTGCAAAAGCTCGGCTATTGTTGAGGTATTTGAGTTTGTCCTTCTTATCAATTTTGTAATAGCCCTCGCTTCGCGCGCAGCCCGTGACGTGCTCCCGCATGCCGTCATCCCGCTTCTTCTTCTTGGGGGTGGAAAAGCTGGTGGGTGCCAAGAGGTTAAGGAGAAACACAGCCAGGGTGGATATCAGACTAAACTCGCTACAGCTGCATGGAGCTAACACCAGGAGCCTGGAAAATTGGGAAGGTTTTGTGGGGTTGTAAAAACAACATTACTACTGAGGTGCCTTGGGAAATCAGCTCCTTCAGACACACACTACAAACCTTCAGGGCTTTGGCTCCTGGAAGGACAGTGGAGCTGTACTGCTGCCAGCTCACCCCACAAACACAGCCATGAAAGCTACAACAATCGAGACTGACCCAAAAATGCTTCCTGTGAGGGAAAATGTATCCTTGACACCAAAACACTGAAGCAGAGGGACCATAAAAACCAAGAGGTGACGGCCTCAAAACCAGAGTGCTGAGGGTTGGCTGCAAAGCAGGTGAGCCTGCAGGTACTTTCACACTTATCATGCAGTGTGACACACAATGAACTCAAGGTGATTTGGAAGTGGCTTAAAAAGTGAGTGTAATTTTGCTGTTAACAATATAATCCTTATGAAGATGGAAAGAGATTTATTTTCACTATGGGTTTTGTTAGTTATCACTGACTGTTATAGGTGGTTTGGGCTTTTTTTGGTTTTGCTATCCTGTCTTGCAGGAAGCAAGGGATGAAGATATCTGAACTTCACACAATCTCTAGCAACACACAAGGTGGTGAGTTTGTCTTCTTCAACACATAAACCTGGACATCCTTCCTGAAAAAAGTACTGGAGAGTTCTGAGGTTTTCAGAACAGTCTTTTAGGCTCTGCTCTGGAGAACACTACTGGTGGGTGCACACACACAGAGCCCTGATGTGCCATTTAGAAAGCTCTGATTTTATCAGTATTTCAACCTCAAAGCAACTTAAAGCTGCTAGAACCACTAACTCATTGTTTTGGGCACAGATGGTGAGATTATTTTTACAGCAAGTTTTAGCTCCAAGTGAAAGCTCTGTATGTGCACACTAGAAATTCCACAGGAAAGCTGGAAAAAAAGTCTGGTTACATGCAGACAGAAGCTTCTCAAACTAGGAAGGAAACCTCCCCAGAAGAGGTGCCTACAGACTGTCCCTGCACTTCCAGACTGAATGTGCAGCAGGAACAGCCACTTCTGCAGTATTTCTATATTGCAGCTTCAGAAAATGAAACAGTCTAAAATTCCCTGCTCATCCAAACAATCTCTATCCCTGTAACCAACCACCAACTTCTCGTGCATCTCACACGTGCAGCCAACACCGTGAGAAAGGATATAAGGATGGAAAACCCAGAGGGTGTCATTGAGCCAGTCCATACCGTTGTCCTGCTGCAACAAGCGGTCGTAGGTGATGCACATGAATTTGATGTCCTCCTCGTCGATGCCCCCGTTCCAGATGTCGTACAGAATCGTCATCTCCTCGAACTCGGAGCGCGGCCTGAACTGCGGCTGGGGCGGGGAGTACTCGGGGGAAGGGATCACTGGCAGCTCCTCGGATTTCCTCTGCCTCCGCCACTGGCGCTTGGGCTTGGCGTGAGCCTCCTCCTCCTTGAAGTCTTCGTTCCACTGGTTCTCCAGTTCCTTGAATGGCAGCTTCTCTGCAACTGTCTCAGCTGCTATCTTCTCGTGGAAACCGTCATTCCTGAAGTCCAGGGTGACGGCTTCAGGGTCTTTCAGTCCATAGTAGGCATCAGGATGTCCGCTCAGCAGCTCTTTGCCCACAGCACCTTCCACCAAGGCCACTGGCATGGGAGGAGGTTCTATGGTTTTGCCCGAGTACACATCCAGAGAGAGGACAGAAGGTGGGGACCGCCTCGGCCGACCCGGCCTCCTCTTGGGAAGAACAGAAGGTGGTGGTGGGGGAGGAAGGATAGAAGCCCCAGGGGGTACCTCTGGGGAGAGCAAAACAGGTTTTACTTCTGCCTTGCATTCCTCAATGGGCATTCTTCCATCTCCATGCAGGCACGGCAGGGCTGCTACAGGTATTGGCTCATCAGGTGGCAAAGCCATGTCCATGTGGAAATCTGCTTGTGGGGGGCTGGCAAAGGGGATAGGGGAAGGAACACTGTTCATGCTGATAGTTAGGGAAGCACCAAGAGGCTCTTTAAAGGTTTTCTCTTCTAGCTCATCCTCTGACTGCTTCTTGCCAGGCAGAAGGCAAGGAATGGTAGCACCAGCCTCTGGGAAAGTAGGCGTGAAATTGAAATCTCTCCCAGGAGTCCGAGGAATGCCACTGTTAATGCCAGGGGATTGGGATGGGTAGGAAAAGGGGCTCCCTGGGACTTGAGGGGAACTGAGGGTCAAGCTGCTTCCTGTAAGGGGAGCATCACTTCCTGGCGTGGCTGGAACAGTGTCCGTGCTCTGCGACTTCGTGAGGGGATGTGAAGACTTGGCCAAAATGTCCCGCCCGGGAGTTCTGGGAATCTCCTCCTCCACGGATGTTTTGGTCACCATTAATTGTTCAGGGAACTTTTCTGGAGGGACTAAAGGCTCTTCCTTGCCGGGAGTGGTTGGCAAGGGAAGCATGGAGGATGGCACCTTGTGGGCTGGCAGCAGGACAGTCTCAGTGTCCGGGTGGATCAGCACCTCCCGCCCCGGCGTGCGCGGCAGCCGCTCCTCCTCCTCCGCTTTGACCCGGCCTTCCAAGCTGCTCTCCTCAGACTTGCCAAAGAAGCTGCTTTTGCTGGGCAGAGGTTCCCCAAAGACTCCTCCTGGAGCAGAGATACAGAGAGACGCCTCCTCATCTTGAGATTCAGGCTTCGGACCTTCCTGTACCTCTGGCTCCAGCATGGGAGTGGGTTCGGACTCTTCCTCTGAAAGGGGAACAGAGAGGAGAATCAGCAGCTTTGCCTCCACTTGGTCACTTGCCACTTGCTAGTAAAGACATGTTGAAGATGCCACAATTAAAATACAGCTCAATTCCACTGGGAGGCTTTAAAGCTCCAGTGCTTTACGTTTTGGAGGCACAGAGTGTAGAGTAATTAGACACTACCACACACTTTCCTAATGGACCATAAAAAACCCACACTATTAATTTGAGGATTAACTACGACACAGACCAGAACGAAGGTTTCTCTGCTTTCAAAAGCCCTGACAACCTTTTATACAGAGATTAAAGGAAGGAGTGGATTGTGGGGTGAGGACTTTGGAGGAGAGCTGCCAGAGCCCAGAGCTATCACCTTTCCTAATGTGGGACCTAAACCAATTGCAGGCCAAGGAGCACCCTCAGCTCTCCAAGGAGGGAATGGTGAAGGGAATAGCAGAAAACTCCTGAACAACACATGAGGCAAACAGGAAGCCCTTGTAATGGATGAGGACACACTCAGATGGTATCAATGAGGCAATTTATATGCTGCTCTCCCTGCAGCAGCCTCATTTGTCTGGAGTTTATTTACCCACTTAGGGCCAGGTCCAAAAGGAATCAACGGTGAATCTTGTTACGCAGCTCAAAATAACATTTTCAAGTGGGAGAATGAAAGGAGGTGAAAATGCCTGGAGAATTGGAAGAGAAGCATTCCCTGTTTGTGCTGAACAAACCAGGGCTGCTGGAGAAGGGTCTGAGCCTTGCCACTCCTGCATGAGCTGGGTTGCTCAAGGACAGTGCTGCAGTTGGAGTTTGTTCCCACAGCTTACCTGGAAAGCTCCTTACACATGTCAAGTTGCTCAAATGCAAGTGTCTCCAAATTTATGTTCTTTCAGCACACTGACCTGTTCTAGAAAGGATTCGTGCAAAACCAGCTCTTCTTTGCCCTGCCCAATTTAACATTTTACTTCTTTGTGACTTTCAGATTTTGCAGCAGCCAAGGAGTGACACCCTGTGCAGGGACTCTCCAAGTGTCAGAACACTGCCCAAGGCTCCACAGCAGGCCCCATTACATGTGCCCTCCCTGTTGGCTCCAATTCTAACTTTCAGATTTCCCCCAGTTGCCAAATTACTCAAGCTTTATGCATCTCACTCCTGTTATAGTAAAAGGTTTCCAATTTCCTTGGGTTAAGTACAACTCTGTATTGATTGAAGACAATTTCCTTCTTCCAGAAAACTACTGAGTATCACTCATTTAAAAGGAGTAGGTGACAAAACCTACTCCTACACCCAGAAATAATATTAGGAACCATAGATAACTCTGAGACTCCACTCACCCTGCCCCATGCAGCTTCCCTGTCACATCCTGATTTGATATTAAAACCAAAAAGAGCCAGTAGTGACATTCCTGTTCTGTTTTAGCAGCCACAGCTTTTCTATCTTGAGCTTCAGCCACCACACCACCCAATCAGTCACCCTCAGACGATGACAACTGTTCAGTTCCTCTAGGACTCCAACTAAACTGGCCCAGGATAAGATTCTGGATCCAGTAACCACAGTATTTTTAGTAGCAGCTGGCTCATGTAAAGCTCCTTACTAGGAAGGAAAGTTCAGCACAGAGCTCTTTCCCTGTACAGATAATCCCTAGCCTAGAGCCAAGACTGGAAGAAGAAAGAGAACAAGGGAAACACAAACCCATATTGGATCCTGGGGGAAAATTTACTTGGAAAGATAATAACAAAACTCCAAAGGACATGGAAGGGCATACCTGGCCTACAGATGGGAGAGAGTGCAAGCTTTGTCTCCTGGTCTCTTTCCATAACCAAATGCTTCAGACTTTCAGCAGCAACAGGAGCCCCCAGGACTTGGCCACACTCACTATCCCCTGCCTTGATTTCTTCACTGCCTTCATCTTTCACTGCCAAAGCTGGCTCAGCAAGTCCCAAGCCTGTGGCATCCATGTAGTCATCCACAGGATACAGGTCCAAAATCGTCTCCCTCTCATCATCAGGAAGCTCATGACAAGCAGATTCAGGCTCTGGCTCAGCAACCATGGCTTCTCTGCCTTGATCTTCAGCCACCTCTTCCTCCTCTTCTTCCTCCTCCTCTTCATCATCATCATCATCATCCTCCTCATCTTCATCATCCGAGTCTGAACTCGACTCGAATTCAGAGGAGTCCTCACTCTCATCAGATGATTCAGCTTCAGCCTTGGAAGATGAGGGACTTGCTACATCTGCAAGAACAAACTCCATTAGCTCTGCTTTCTGCCTTTAAAAATCAGTCAGGGGCCAATATCCCTTCCCCTGAAAAAGTGTGGAAACAGCAGCACCAGCAGCAGGTGGGTTTGAAGGAGTGGCCTCCCAACTCAGTTATTTTTGCAGAGATTTATAAATCCTGTCCCTTACAACAATCACCTTGCAACAGTGAGTAGTGGTGCTGCCTGGCACCTCCCACCTGGGTCTCTTGGTGTATTGTATCTTTTACTAAGATTTTCTGCAGCCTTTACACATGGCCTTAAAAAGTGGAAACTACCACCTGCCAGAGCAGGAACTGATTGCCCTTTTCAGAAATCTGGTCCCTTCTACCCCCAGTCTACCCCCCAGAAACTCCTGTTTCACGAAACAAGCACACATTTAGCTGGGCTTGAGACCAGTGCCCCTGGGGCTGGGTTGGGCTGAGATCAGGTAGGGACTGGAGGGCTCAAAAAGGACCCACTGACTGAGGGATCATGGAAACCTCACAGGTATTAATTAAAAATATCTCTCTGCATTATATTGTGTAAAACTGCCCAGTGAAAGGAGGTACACAAGTAACAAAATCAGCTCACAAAGGCAGAAGGGAGACCACAGCTGACCCAAAGGTGACACTTGTGACACTGCTTCCACTGCAGCTCCTTACCCTCCTCGGAGTCCTGCTCCTCCTCCTTGTCACTTGTGTCTATGCCTGTCTCCTCCTCATCATCTTCATCCTCATCTTCGTCATCATCTTCATCCTCATCATCTTCATCATCCTCCTCCTCCTCTTCCTCCTTTGCAAAACAGATTGCCAAAAATGAACAGTGCCTGAGCCTGTCCCTGGCTGCAGTAACCACCAGGGACTCTCAGGGAAGCTGCCAGAGAGCCTGAAGAGGGAGTGACTGGCAGAGCTCTGTAAGGACAGACAGACAGACCCCACCAGGAGCATCCATCTCCCAGAAAAGGGAACTTTGGCACTTGGCATGACCAGGCCCCCTTTTAATGACAGACAGCACTGAGACTGCAGCCTCACACCAACACACCTTGCCAGGTGCTGCTTTCACCAAGCCTCCCTCTTCCTCCTGCTCCTCTTCCTTCTCTGAGGAGGACTCTTCCTCTTTCCCTGATGTCTCATCTCCCTCCTCTCCCTCGCTGTCCAGCTCCAATGGCCTCGCTGGTCGCCGCCGCAGCCCCACAGCCTCTGCGTCCTTCTTTGACAGGTCAGATGTTGTATCAGAAGCATCCCTGTCCCTCTCCGACTCTGAGGAGCAAAAGCAACAGAAATTACTATCTAATACCTTGGGAAGGACAGAAAGAGTTAACTCCATAAGGGAAACTTCTTTGGGAAGATGGAAGTCAGGAGCAATGTGCCCATGTGGTGTGAGGGTCCCCAGGCTTACAGGGACCTGCTGATGTCACAGTGAACAGTGCTGATGGCAAAATGTGGGTGGCCAAAGCTGACAGGAAACACAGCATGAGTGAGGTCAGGACAGGCAACCTGAATTTAATGCTTTTATGTTTCATTTTTTGGCTTCACAACCACTTGTTAATCTCAATTGACTTCTACATGAACCCATGTGCAAAACAAAGGGTATTCAAAGCTTCGTCTCCTCTTTACTCTTCCCTGGTAATAGGAAATAATGTTAAGATATTTTCAAACAGATTTTTCTGGCAAGTAACTTTGGTTTCTTTCTCAAATCAAATGCAGAGCAAACTGTTACGTGCTTCCTCCTGCCACAATCCAGTGAGCTGTGAGCACCCCCCAAAGAGCCCATGAACCCATCTGAGCTCCTTCTGCTGGGGCTCAGCACAGCTAAAATAGGTTATGAGTTATTCTTAAAATGTGGATCTTAAACTTCCCACCAGTGAATTTCAGATAATTGAACCCAGAGGGGCCATGGCCCAGCTGATCAGAGCTCTGTGAGAAGCAGGGTTTGGCTCAGATCCTTGACTCTGTGTTTAACTGTAAGTGAGCACACTGCTGTGAAGTTTAAAGGATTCAGCTTGGTGGGGTTTGCATCTGCTCCTGGGTTTCAAACAAATGCACTTTGCAAACCTTCATCTTCATCATCCACAGAAGTAGAAGGCCGGATTCTTTTCTGATCTCCCGCTGAGGCAGCTTCAGGTGGCTCCTTTCTTTTCACCTGAACAAAAGACACAATTAGCATTTCTGAAAGTTTAGAAACAGCAGAAATCAACTTCTTAAGCAAATTGCCACTTCTTTACTTTGCTGTGGTCACAGCAGAAACCAAGGGCCACTTCCCAGCTCTTGATCTCTTTATTTGCTTGCAAACAGAATTTCACTCTGAATGAAACTCTACCCCTTCAATTTGCATGAAAACACCCGGGGTAGCAGCACGGTGCATGTCACCTGGTACTTGGGGATGACAGAGAAAACTCTTGACAAATCCATGTGTCTGAGATTGTAATAGAACAGAAAGAGAGCCTAAGCCCAGGGCATCTTAAAGAACCTCAAAGCAAGTTTTACTCTAAATAGAGACTGGAGAATTTCTCATCCCAAACCTTTTACTTGCACCTTCTGTGCATTCAAAAATTCTAATTTCAGGGAAGCTCTCTACAGCCCCCTACCCCAAACTTTAAGATACTTTTAATTTTTTATGCAAATGCTTTTCAAAATGGATACCCTGTGCTTCTGAGGAGACAGAGTTCAAGCAAACTGAGACTCATCTGCCAAACCACCAGAGATTCCAAGCAGAACAGTAACTGTGTAAAGCACCATGAGCATACATGTATTTTATGATGATGCTGAAATGCTGTGTCCTAAAGACAGGGAGATCCTCTACAGCCAATTCACAAAAGGGGAGGATGAAAAGGGAACAGAGGCTCCTTGCTCTGGTCCTGGGGGTCAGAAGCAACCCCAGAGTGGAGTGAACAGCCTGAGGGCTCTGGGGCACAAACCTAGCAGGTCTGTCCTCCTAAGGCTCCTGTGGGAGATGGCAGCACAAGGAAGAGAGGTTTCGTCTCACCTTGAAGGATGGCAGGCGGATGGCGCCCCGCAGGCCGATGCCAAGGCCGATGGCCTCGTAGCCCAGCCCTTCTCCCTTGTTCCAGTTCTCCAGCAGACAAGAGGCCATTCGATCCTTTGGCTTTGGTTTTTCCTCCACTTCTCCTCCAGACTTCACTGGAGTGAGAGATGCCTGCAACAGAGAAGGCACATCTGAGAGGGGAAGTTCCCTGGGAAGGACACAAAGTCTGGAAATCATTTAAACAGTCAAGGTTTGGGAAATATCACTGCCCTGCCCAGGTACCAGTTTCTTGGAGGGCATCTGAAGGTGCCCTACACCTGAAAGGAACTAGAGCTGCAAAGAATAATAAAAATAATTTGAGCGTGCTTTAGGCAAGTCAGCCCAACAATGTGCTATCTACCTTCCCTTGCTAACACACATAACTGAAAGCAACTCGAGACCTTCCAGTTGGGAACACCTTCCTTCTGCTGAGTGCAAGGCCAAATATAGAGCATCAAAAACCACACACATCCCTGTGTTCCCTTAGCAACCAGAGCCCCAGTCCACAAAACCTGTCAGAAGGCTCCAGTCCTGGAACAGGGACATGAAAATATTTAGGTGAAACACCAAAGGGTCTACAAAAAAACCACACAGTCTCAACAAATCCTTTTTCAGCAGAGCTGAGGTGTGAAGGAAGAGCAGGAATTCAGCTCTCTGCAGCTGTGGAGAGGTGGACAAGCCAGCAGAATGTCACACATGGTGGCACATGATGTTCTGCCCAAGGCAGGGGCACTGGAGGTGACACTCACCTGCAACACGCCAAACAGCTTCTCCTGCACACCCTACCAGAGCTCACAGGCTGAAGGGGGCTGTAATCACCAAAGAGGCAGCACAAGCACAGCTCTCCAGCTAATTAGGGACAAGACTAATGGGAATATCAAGCAGGGAATCCAACCAGCATCACTCTGTGGCCAGGATGCCTGGTTACTCCTGGCACTCTGCTTAATGCATCTTACCCAGGCTTTCAAACCTAACCCACCACTAGACCTGGGAACAAAGAAAAGCTTTGCCCTAGCTCAGGCAGAACAGGTCCATGGAATGTGCTGCCTTCCCCAGCAACCTGCTCCCTTCACAGCTTTCACCCCTTTCACACATTTTCCACCCTGCCTGACCCAGGACACCAGATTTATCCTTGAGCCTTCCCACCCTTTTCCTAGGGCATGAAGCCTCTTGGAAGTCACTCAGCTGCCAGAGCTGGAATCAATCAATCAATCAATCAATCAAACAATCAATCAGCTGCCTTTGATGGAACATAGCAGCCAGAATCAGTGTGATGGCAGAGCACATGGGGAACTGACCTCTAGCTGCCACCAAGGAGCCCAGTAACCCCCCCTCACACACACACAGACACCAGCAATGGGAAGGTACAGTTAAATATTCAGTTTAAGCTGAATATTTGTATTTTGTTTTCTGCAAAAGCAGGCAACTTCTGCCTGAGAAGGAATCCTGTCCCACCCCAATGCCAGGGTTGCCCAGTCCTAGCAGAAAGCTCTGAAATCTATGAGGTTTTTCTGCACACAACAGTAACACATGCCCTGGGGCAGGAAGGGTTCTGGCATCTCTGTTCCTGGACAGAGAGCACACGTGGTTTCCCATGCAGCAATTTCACATTTTCAATTACACTGCTCACATCCAACATAACCTGTGGCAAGGACTGTGGTGAGCTGCTGTGGTACAGTCAGCTTCCCTTCCCAAAATGGCTTATAAACCCCAGGTGAGGGAAGAACACCCCAAATCCAGCCATAACTTGGGATGTCAGTGAGCCTGAAGATCTGCCTCAACTTGCGTCTGCTTTTTCACCACAGATGTCTGGTTTAAAACAATTTCTTGAGTGTTTCAGTTGCTGTTTTGCAACTCTTTGCTGGATGTTTCCTTCATTGCCCTGGAAACTCACGGGCCTCCTCCAAGACTGTCAGCACACACTTGCTGGCAGGAGAAAAGCTCTGAGCATTAGTCAGGAGGAAGGGACGGGGTTTCTGCTGCACCTCACGCCAGCCAGCTCTAAGCCACAGTAAATTACACTGTCACAAAACAGCTGTTAAGCAGCAGCATGACCAACTCCTCCAGAAAGCCAAGGAGCTTTCCCAAGCAACAGAGTTAACATGTAACTGGTTCACACAAACAGGTGGTGAGGATACTGCTCTGAAAACTGACATCTGAAACAGACATACCTGCAGGCTGTGGTTTGTTTTGTTATTTTTACAGTAATTCACTGCAATGGTAATTTTGAGGTTTGCATTAACCTTTCTGAAGTGTTCGGTTTTTTGGGTAGTGACAAATTCACCACACATTAGATCACAGAGCTGCTTGCTGGCTGAGGCACACTTCAAATTGGGTGAGAAAAGGATCAGAGGATTCATGCAAAGCCGTTTTCTCAACTAATCCTTGGAACTCTTGGTATATTTGGCCAATGTTCAGCTTTTGAGTTAATTGCTGCCTTGTACATGCACTGGGGAGGGGGCAGAAGAGGAAATACCCACAAATCTCACTGCACAAAGTGGGGAACACAAGACAGAGGCTTGGTGGTTTCAAACACTCCTCTTGCATCTGACTGTAGTTTTTTGGAGCTAAACTTCAGATTCCTCTTGTACATGAAAATTTAGGGGTTTGGGTTATTTAAAGTCAGCTCCAGACCCCTGCTGACTCCACACCCTGGGCACAAACACTAAGAACAGCTCTCCCCAGGACCCAGGAAACAGCATGTGAAAACTCACCTTTGCCAGACGTTCCTTCTTGTCCCACCAGTCATCAAACGCCCGGAACGCCACCACTTCGACCATCTTGCGATTCAGGTCCCTTTTCATGATGGCCTTGAGCTCCTTCACTATGACCAGGAGGACCCCATCCACCGTGGCCTTGTGAGGATCTTCCTTCTTGGGCTCATAGCCCGGGGGAGGAACCGAGGGGTCGAACTTGGGCAGAGGCGGCCACTGCTGCCCGCGGGCGAGGGCGGCGCCCATGGAGAAGGGGCGGTAGGGAGGGAGGTTCACAAACTGCATGCGGCCCGCCATGAAGGGCGGGTACTGGTACGTGTTCTGCGCCTGCATCATGCGGCTCAGCATCTGCGTTTGCATTTGGAAGGACATGGGCATGCCGCCCCACTGGTTGCCCAGGACGCTGATCATGTCCACCTGCATGACCGGGAACATGCCGGGGTGGAAGGGGGGCAGCGGGGGCAGGATGTGGGGCGGGGGCACCCCGGGCGGGGCGGGCAGCGGCGGCGGGGGCACCGTGACCGCAGGGTGCGTGGGTGGCGGGGGCGGGGGCAGCGGAGGGGGCATGGGGAAGCCCGGCTGAGGAGGAGGAGGAGGAGGAAGAGGAGGGAATCCCGGTGGTGGCAGCGGGGGGATGGACGGGGCCATCACGGCCGTGTTGCTGACGGAGGAGTTCACCACAATGGTTTTGGCACATTCTGCGCTGGTGATGGGCGCGGGGTTGGTCTCGTCGTCAGAGATTTCCATGTCCTCCCCTGAGGAATGCTGACCCTGCCACAAAAGAGAGAGAAAAGGTGACGAGCACATTCTCTTTACATTAAATACCACAGCGCTGGGCTGCTTCAAACAAAAGCTAAGTTTAACACACATTTTAATTGGGAACGGAGAAAAGCGAGCCATGCTCTGAAAAGCCAGGGCCCACTGTGCAGCTGGTGCCTATTGAAGCTTTTCTCTTCTGTGTCAGACCTCAGGAACCAGAGAGGTAAAAGATTTCTAAAAGAGCATCAGCACCAACTGAACAAAACCCTCAGTCTATGGAGCAGGAGGAATTGCTCCCATGGTTGGGGAAATGCACACAATCCAAACATCCTTCACTGCAAGATACATTATCTCTTATTTGTATCTAGTACTCCTAGGTACATTACACCATGAGTTGTTATTCCTTAGTTTTTCCATGCACAAATAATTATCCTGGTTTTCAATTATAATCCCTGGCTCGTTTGCTGTCAATTCCTAACCTCTAATTGTGGAAACACAATACCTCCTCCACAAGGCTGCTGCTACTGAAAGTTGTCTTGACTAGACCACAGCAATTCACATGGGAAAAAAGAATCCCAAATCTAGTTAAATTGCTTTTAAACATCAAAGTCATAAAAAGCTGGGATTCAAAGACATAGCTCATGTTGTGTTTTTGGACAAAATGAATACTTTACTAGACACAAGAAACACAGACTTGTAAGAAAATGCTAAAACTATGTCCTACCTCTGCTGCCAAAGGGATGGAAACTGGATTAAAATAGAGGGTGCTAGCTTGCTCTGAAGTTTCAAAGCTGCCTGACTAGGTCTTGTACAAAAGAAAAGTCCCAAGAACTACCTCCATCCTCAACAGCACATGGTCACACCTGCACACTGTGTCCTACTGGCACTTCAGTCCTCAAGGTGTCTCCAGCACCAAGAATCCACATGCATGAGTGTCACATCCCTGATAGGAAATACTGCAACCAAATCCTGCTGGGAGACATATCCACAGGGTGACAGTTTATCTAGGAAACACGAATGGGGCTGATCTCTGACCAGAGTGATGACAGCACACAGGACAGGTCCCTGTAACCTCCAAACAAATGTCTCACACTGCTGATGCCAGTGAAGAACCCCCCATGTTCCCCAGCCCAGGGCACAGCAGGGATGCTGCTCCTGGCCAGAGCCCTCCCACTGCCCTGGAGCCAGGAATCTCCATCAAGTGCCTCTCTCCGACACAATCCTGGCAAGAGTTTTGGAACCTGCTGGCTGTTATCAGCCAAATTTGACTGTAGATCTCAAATATATTTATTGTTTGCTCCACATTTCGTGCCAGCAGGTGCCTCTTCTGTCTGCTCTCCCAACAGTCTCCCCAGTGTGAAAGGAAAGAGCAGCATCAGACACTGGAGAGCCTGGAAGTTCTGGGAAGAGCTGCTGAGGAGCAGACTTTGTTGGCAGTTTTCACATTGAAGCCGCTGTGATTTGATTCTTAACCTGTGAATTTCTCACTGGCGTGTGCAAACAAAAGCAGGAGCAGCTCAGTTGACTCTGCTACAAACTGTCACTGTGTGAAACTGAGCAACCACAACTATCCAAATCACTCCAAATGTTTCCCTTTTTATCAAAGGTCATCTCTGCTACAGCAGCCACCACCAGAGAGCAGGCTGAGCACGAGGCTTGCAGCAGCAGCTGTGCAAATCCTCCAGCCCTGGCACCTCCCCTCGCCCTGGCTTCCCTGCATTCCTGTGCTGCAGCACCAGCTCAGCGCCTCCCGCAGCTCCTGGGTCACCCCCAAAAACCACTCACAGCTTCAGTGCCCAAACTGCCCAGCAAGGAGACACCATCCACCTGGCAAACCCTGAGCAAGAGCTACTGACCCCTGGTAATGGTGATGGAGAGGGGACTCCCCTGTAGCCACGGAGTCACTTTAGTGCATCTGTGCATGCAGGGAGAACTCCAAGGCTGTTTGTAAACCCTAAACTGAACAGCTAAAACAGTAGAGGTGATAACCCACTGCACCCAAGTCCTTCCGAAGGCCAGTTGTATCATGCCCTTGAGCTGCCCACATCTGGCTCACACTTGTCACCCTGCATCCTCTCCCCAGCTGCTCTATTGCGGTCACGTCCCACGCCGAGGATGGAGGGGAATAAAAGGACATTCTGCACTTTCAACCACTGCAGCTCCAGTGAAAGGAGCAGAGGAAGAGCAAAAAGGATGGCTGTGGCAGGTGTAAACAAGATTCCTGTGAAACAGACCCTGGTTTTCAGTAAGTGAACACAAAAGGCCCTGTTAAAAGCACTGGCTCCGATTGCAAACGCTGGATGATGCTAAAGGTTGGCTCAGGATAGAAAGCCAGGAGTGCTCAGGCTACCAAAGACAGACAAAATCAGCTCCAAGTTCACACTCATCTCATCTGATGGGATATGGAGAAAAGTCACCCCATGAGGCCTCAGGGGAGACCAGCACTGAGCTGGTCAAGCCACAAATTCTCCCCAGTGCCTCCTGCAGGACCTTCCACCCTCCCAGAGCCCTCCCATCCTGGAGCACCAGCAGCCCCCAGCCTGTCCCACCACACCAGATTTGTGCTCCTGCTCATCACCCAGAGCCCACTGCCATCCACACCAGCCTCTCATCAGCCTCAGTACCAATGACTGGAGTCCTGCCTGATAAATGAGGCTGGTTTCCCTTCCTGAAGGAAACATCACATAGAAAAAGCCAGTCCTGAAACTGCAGAGAGGAGGCAGGACGAGCAGGATTCCAAGCTTTAAGGCACAGAGCTTCCTTTATCCATACATGCCTTAACTTTTACTTAAGTTGAAATGAGAATTGCTAAAGCAATAACCAGTGTTTGAAAGATTGAAATATTTTTCTTTTTTTTTCCACTTCTGGTGCTCAGATGGGTCTACAGGAAGCAACAACAGATTCCCTGCTTCCTCCAATGCTGGCCTTCAACTCACCTCCACCTGCACAGTGCACACAGTCTGTGCTCCAGTTCTATTCCAGGCAAGATGGATAGGGAGAGAAAAGGACATTAAATGGCAGGGAGAAAAGGATCAGAAAAGGCACAGGGGGTAGGGGGAAAAGAATCACAAGGTTAGGAAAGAGGTCAAACCAAAAGATCATCTACAAGGAATTCCTCTTTAAAGAAAGTTGAGAGTAAAGAATATTTAAAGCGGATTACTTTCCTGTAACTGTTCATATCTAAGGGGGAAAAAGGCAGGCACCAAGTGAAAGAGATCAAGGTACAGATAGAAAAGGCAAGGGGAGACATAGAAAGATCTTCTGTTATTTGAATTTCTTTTCATTCACCTGTCTGAACCTGGATTTACTATGGCTGCTACCAAATACCTCTCAGGGTAGAGCTGAAAAGCACCTGTGCTGTCCTCTCAAAGAAACTGCCTTCTAGCTGGCCTCCCTCTTTGCTCTCACAAGCAGAAAAAAGTGAGCTGATAGATGACATACATACTGCTATGAGAATGTCACAGCCATCATTGTAAAAAAAACAAAAACCTGTGTCAATCAGTCCCAGAGTTCACCTGTCTGTTTCTGAGGTCATCTGCTACAATGCCACCAGAAAATCTCTCTTCAGCCCACTGAGAGAAATGCCATTTCCAGCTAAATTAATTTGTGCTGCCATCTTTACTTTGGATTAATTAAATTAAGAGTTAGCAAAACAGGTATTTAATTATACGCATGACACATTTTTCCAAGGGTTCCTTAATGATGCAAATTTGTTGGGAGAGATTCATGTCAGCGTAACTGGTTATAAATGGCCTCATTCACTGTTCACCCAAAATGTTAATTGCCACCTTTAACACCAGCAGAGTGTGCAGAGACTCTTAAGTGAAGTGAGGGAACATCCTGGGATGCCACTCCATCAGCTGGAATAGTGACAGGGTAGAGCCACTGGCTACAGGGCATTGATCCCACCTCAGGGCCGTGCCCAGCGTTTTGCAGGCAAATGTTAATTCCTCCAGAGACAAGAAACTACATCCCAATATCTGCATGCAGCCCTGGCAGCTTCCAGCAGTGAGGAGCTGCTCCATCCCCTGACCCAGAGGAGCACTGACACCGTGGCAGTGATTGGAACCTTCACGTTGTTCAGTACCTTCCTTACAGGCAGAGAAACTTCCATTTCCTTCTAAAAGGCCATCTGATAAAAGAATTTACTCAGAATTTCAGAACACATTTTGGGCACCATCAGCTTACAGCTCATTTCACTGAAACATTCTGCTGGGTACCAAGTTATATTTGAGGTAGGGAACTGTGCCACTGAACATAGCAGCTACTCTGGCATTACCTGGCTGAGCTCTGGTGCATCAAAATAATGAAATGCAGGATCGATGGCATTCAGCACAGTACAAGGGCATTAGCCTTCATGGTTTTCAATAAAGCTAGAACTTTAAAGAAGAAGGGACTCTTGGACAAAAAAGTTTTCCTATTCTGGTTAAAGAGTAATCACTTGGTTTTGGATTATGTCCAAGCAAGCGTTGAAAAAAATTCACAAGTGATCATCTCATACTTCATCCTTACGAAAAAGCAGGGAAAGAAAAGTCTTCAAAGGTGAGGAGGAGAGGACAACTGACTGAAGAGGGTCGCACACCAAGTCACTAACAGAGTCAAGAACAGACTCCAGGGTCCCTCTGACCTCCAATTCCCCAACACCAGCTGCCTCCCCACACTGTGCTCTGTGTTTGACAAGGGAAACAGCCGTGATCCCTGGGTGAGACCAGCTCAAGTTCTCTAACACACAATTCTCTTCCCAGACTCCTTCAGCAGAGCACATTAAAGAAAATGAGACATTTCAAACCTGCCACATTTCTTATGCCACCATCCAGAACAAAAATGAAGCCTGAGGTCACCAACCAGACACCTGCAACTCTTCCTCCAAGACCACTTCACTGAAAAACTCCTTTCAAGCTTGGCCCAGAGAACCCCACCATTCACTCTGCTAACAGAGTAAATACCAAATACCTCTTGCAGCCCAAAAATTGCAAACACAGCAAGGGCTCCAGAGAGAATTGCTTTGTTCA